TAGCTGGCAGAATGTAGTGGGTCCTTCTCAGGACCTCAGTCTTCAGCCTCATCTATGCACTGGCAGCAGGTATGGAAATGAGTCATATTGAGAAGATGGAAGCCTTTCCCCTTTAATCCAAACACACTCAGCTCTACAGTTTAGCAGGCATAGCTCAGGCACATTCAGGCCTTAGATGATGTTTTAATTCCAACACTGTGGTGAATTGTCCCTTCTGAAAACAATTGTTAAATACGTTATTGGACTGGTAGAGGCTGGGGAGGGAAGGACCAGGGAAGCTGGAAGCCAAATGAATGGTGCTGTGGGACAAGCTTGCACTGTTGTGCTGGTCAAGGCCAGGGCAGAAAACGACTTCTCAGTCAATCTTCAGAGTTCGGCTTCTATGTGGCAAGACCCTAAACACACATGCTTGAATACCAATAGTGTTCTTTGGGAAGAAATGGCAATCCTGTACGGCAGGAATTCAAGGACACTGGATTTGTTAGAATAACTTCCAGGTTTTCCTGTAGGTATGATGTTAGGTTTCTTAAAGAGACTCTCTATGCTTACAGTTCCAGGGGCTGGGATACCCTGACACCTGACTTTGGACCTTTGGGTCATACTAGATAGCCCAGAGCTGAGCCTTCCAGGTCACAGGAATCTAGACACACCTCACATCTTGCTTCTAGTGCAACTGCCTTAGATGAGAAAGGAGAGATATCATGGAATACAGACAGAGAAAAGAGACACCAAAACATTTATCAGATGAAGCCAATTTGATAAAGTCAGTTCAGGACAAAACATTTTACCCAGAGGAATGCTTGCCTCTAATTCCATGCCTCCCACTCTCTCTCAGAGTGACTCTTTCCCCTTTCAGGTTTGTTACACATACCATATGACACTCCATGTGCAGGGCAGCAATGGATATCAAGATGGAGAAGGCAGTTCCGAACCTGCAGAATTCACTGTCAGGGTGTGAGGGTAGAGTACACACATGGAGGAGGGGGAAAGAATGGGCTGGAAGCCACAAAGAGCATCACGGTGTGTGACAGAGAACACAGGTAAAAAACCAGCAAGTTAGAAGCTTGCAGGCAGGCAGGCAGGTCAGTGCTCACACATGGCAGAGAAAGGAGGCCAGTGTGACTGAAGGGTAGTTACAGAGCCCAGAGGAAGAGTAGGGAAAGTCTACTATTTGTAATCTTTATCTAGTATGGATTAAACCCTGTTCTTAGCAATTCAATATTAGCTCATTTAAATCCTCACAGCACCTATATCACGAATTACTGCCTCTGCAGGTGAGGGAATTAAGTATTAGAGGAATTAAGTAACGTCCTTCAGTCCTTCAAAGCACACAGCTACCCCCAGAGTAAAGCCTAGATTCCCACACTCCCTGGCAGTATCCTTCCGGATTCTGCACTTTAGGCCTCGACTGTCCCATCTCTGAACCAAGCTGAAGAGCAAGTTTGCCAACATCTGACTCTCTTCTGAGCATAAAGTATTAACGAGAAAGTAGAGCTAATAATTAGGTCCAAGCCTGGGCCTGATTACAGACTGTGATGTTTCAAATTGGAAAGGGGAAAATAAAAATCTTGGAAAAGATCCAGAAAAGAACATTTTTGTTTTAGTGTATGGCAGCGTGAGGAAAGGAGAGGAATGAAGAATGCTTCCTCCAGTCTCCTGGCACACAGCTTGGCAGGGCCGTCCTGAAGCTGGCACTTCATTACCTCATCGTGATTCCCACAAACCTATGCATTAGCTGACATTACATAGGAGTGTAAAGTCACGGGGCAGCGAAAGCTATGACTTCCAGAAGACGAAAAAGTCTTGAATGAGTCACACTAATACTACTTGGATTTTCCATCCTAAGAAATAAAGACAGCTTAGAGTTATTATAATTCTTAGCAGATGCTAGATCCCTGGGAAGATATCAGTTGTTAACTGAAGGAGCCACCTGGGCTGCTAGCTTCCATCTGGCTTGACCCTCCCATGCCTCTCGGGATTTAGAAGCATGCTTTGGCATAATCATTTGCAGTTCTCTCTCTCTCTCTCTCTCTCTCTCTTTAAAAAAACCCTGCCATTCTTTATTTATTATTTATGCGTATATGTTTGTGTCTGAAAAGACCAGAAATGTATGTGTATTCTCTCTCTCTCTCTCTCTCTCTCTCTCTCTCTCTCTCTCTCTCTCTTTCTCTTTGTGTGTGTGTGTATCTGTAAAGGCCAGAAGGTGTCAGATCTCCTGGAGCTAGAGTTACAGGTAGTTGTGACATGGTTACTGAGACAGAACTCTGGTCCTCTGGAAAAGCAGCAAGTGCTCTTAACTGCTGAGCTATAGCCCTAGTCTCCATTTGTATTTCTTAAGCTGGAAAAATAAAAAGTATTGTTTACTTAAAAAGAGAAAAATCCAGGTGCTGTGCATGGCACATGCTTAGAGTCTCAGTATGTGGGACCCAGAGGCAGGTGGATTGAGAATCTGAGGCTTGTGAAGAGGCGGTTTCAAAAGGATAACAAAAAAGTGGGCCATCGCACCAAAGTTTTACAATTCACATTCCAGATATCGAGCAGATGCAGATCGGTCTAGAAAGACCTCAAAGTGCAACAAAGGGCCCTGTGAAACTCTCAATTCATTTGGAAAACAATGTGATTTTCCTGCTCCGGTTGCTGCATTTCTTGCCACAGAGAGGCACGTGGACTCAGTGACAGAGCTAATCTTCCACAGGGAAACCTGACAATAACACCAAGCTTTTTTCTTATTTCAGAGGACAGTAGACTTTGAAAGCAGGATCAGTAACCTCAGCTGCAAGGGCTGAGGAGATGGCTCAGTCAGCAAAACTGCTTGCCAAACAAGCATGGGTAGCTGCTTTCAGCCCTCTGCATCCATGAAAAAAAAAAAAAAAAAAGCCCAGTGGGGCAACCCCAGTGCTCAACAAGTATAGAGAGGAGGATACTGGGTAATTTCAGGCTAGCCAGGCTAGCTGAATTAGTAAGATTTAGTGAGAGTCTCAAAACTGAGGTGGAGAATGACTAAGGAAGACATCTTCATATGTATGGACATGCACATGTACTTACAGGTATCCATGTACATGTATACATCATATACAACACACAAACACTTCAGATGCAAAAATAACAGCAGCATATTCTAAAGAGATATATTCAAACATAGAAAATGACTAAATCATAGGTTTAGATTTTTAAAATAAAAAAATCTTTAAATTTAAATCATAGGTTTAAAATCAGCTAAATGTTTAGTTGGTGTTAAATTACTTTTGACAGGTTTATTTGACATCCACTCACTCCTGACTAGTCCAGGGGCTTTTCAGCATCTCTTTGGATAAACACACTGTGTGTGTGTGTGTGTGTGTGTGTGTGTGTGTTTTCTGTGTTGTCTCCCTATGAAGGAGTTCATTTTCAGATTGCTTCCTCCAGAACTCTACAAAAGCAGGAAGGACTCTAAGTGAGGGGACCTCTGCCTTTAACAGGGTCTCAATAAATGGCCCAGGCTGGCCTTGAATTACCATTCTCCTGTCCAGACTGTCTGGTGCTAGCATCCCAGCTGTAGGCCTCTGCATCCAAGCAAGATTTTGTTCCTTAGTCTAAGGAAGCCCCAGGAGTGCAGTTTCTATGGCTGGCCACACTATCACTGTCATTTTATATATAGTAACACTGGTTAAAGAAAAAAAGAATCACTTGACAGAGTTTTCTATTTCTGTAACATTGTGTCAGGAAGGAGCTGAGCAGAATGTACTTCCCAGGGTGAAAGCACATGTTTGGATTTCAGATGTTAGTTTTATTTAACTCCTTAGATAAATTTAGCTCCCGTGAGAATAAACATTCTGGATCCCCTGACTCAGACAATATACTGTCATTACTGATACACTGAAATAAAACGTGCCTGTAACCCTGACCAATAACCTTGGCTGCTTCCTGGAAACTGCAATCTGCAGGTGCCCTACAGATGTCCCCTCCCCCCCCCCCCCCCCAGCCCTGGCTTCTGCTACTACCTTAAAATCTGCAGCAGACTCTGCAAGGCCACACCTAAGCCACTAGCACAGGCAGCAGAGCAGAGAGTGCTTTGCTCTCTGGGGTACGTCCTTTCCCTAGTTAAGGGATTCAAGTCCCAATCCGCAGTGTTCCTTTCCTACCCATCCGACCATCTGTCTCTGCTTTTCCTCTACTTCCTTTTCCGCACTCACTTGTACTCTAGGATACTTGTAAACTGGTGCCTCCCAAGCAAAGAATTAGCAGAAACCACAACCTCGGGAGTGACTCAGAGTCTGTACTCCCCTCCACCACCCTGCAGGTGCCCCACCCCTGTGGTTCTGGGTCTCCCTGAAGGGACACAAGATAAGAAGGGACACTCGCGGACAGGCAAGGAAGGGATGAATGAAGATCCCACCCACCCTTCCCAAGAAGTCTCTTGCTATGAGGACAGAAGTAAGAAAATGACCCATGTTCGGGTATCAATGCAAATTTTTCTACGAAGCGAGAAGAAAACAAATGCAATTCCCTCTGAGACCCTCCCGAAGGATCCTAGCAACAAGATACTCATAGCAGGAGCGAGGCTTGCATGCCACTTATGAAACCTGTGTTAGATCAAGTCCGAATGACCAGTTCCCACTGCAGAGCTCGGGGCTCCTTTCTCTGTATTACAGCGGCAGTGAGTAAGGTCAGGTGGTCTTCGGAAGGCCGAAAGAGGGAGCCCCAGGCCTTTACACAACTGGAGTTAAGGAAGGGGAGAAAAATAAATAAAGAATTGAGGATGAGCTGACCTTGAGAATCTCCCTGAGTTAGAGATAGCCAGGTAGGGGGTCTCGCCGAGAAGCTCCTATGCTATACCATCAGGGGGAGCATGCAGGGCGGGCAGAGGGTCAAGTGGGTAGAAATGCAGAGCTCAAATCGACCGATAAGGAAGGGAGGTTGGAGAGAGACCCTAATTCCGTTCCAAGTGGTTGTACGTGTGCAAGCATTCAGGTAACCCAGCAAAGCTAAAGCTCCTGCAGCTCGCAGGTGCCAACACTTACCTGGCTCACCTTGCCGCGACTACTGCAGACTTGAGCAGCGCAGCACTGCCTGGGTGCGGCTCTAGCTGTCCCGTAGGACCCGCCCTACTTAGCCCTGGGCAGCGCGCGGCCACGCCCCGGGACCGCCCCCGGGACCGCCTCTGACTTTGGCTGTTCTTGGCGTCTCTTAAGCGCGATTGCATTTTCTCTCTGTTCCGGATAGTTCGCATATTTACTTTTCCGGCTCCCCAGTCTATATATTTGTTCTCCTCCACAAGTATCTTTTCGTGACTGCAGTCCTAAATTGGTCCTAGAGATTTGTTCTGCTTGGTTGGAGCAGAAGGAACAGTAACGCGTTATAATTCGTCCCCAGCAGGCCACCGTAACTCATCTCGCTGCGCGTGCGCCGAAAAGAGTAGATTTTGGAGAGCGTGAGGTGGGAAGTAGGAAGGCGTGTGTCTCACTTTTGGACACTCCTGGGAAGGGGGCGTTTGGGACTATGGGAGTTCCCTTAGCCAACACTGTTGGCACGTACCGCAGCTCTGCCCACACGGTGCGCCGCACCCATTCTCGCTTCCCCAAGCCCCTCAGGCGGGCTCCTGTGGTTTGACTCGCCCAGGTGTTTCTCCCCGGACCCCGCAGACCTAACAAAGAGCACAGGCGAACCCTCTTGTGCCACCTCGCGGCGGCCTCCAGGAGAGCCTTGGATAGGACCTACTGAGCAGAGGTAGACCTTGACTGCTAATTTCTGTAAGTTCTGCTTTAAAACCGTCGCAGAAAGCACCGAAGTTACTTTTTTTCCCCCCGCGTCTCTGAGAATCTAGGTCAGACAGTGCATACTTTTTAAAGCCTCTTTCCTCTCTCCGTCCTCACAAACACAAGAGAATATGTTTCTTCTGTAGCCAAATATGAGTGACCATGGTGGAGGACACATATCCAGGTTGCCCAAATACCATGTTCCAACTGGTATTTTATGAACTTCTAGTAACAGAATGAAGGAAAGTCATAAATCAAGTTCCCTTTCATGTACGTTGTGGGAGTGCATCAGGTGTGCAGATTATGGCAAAGCCTGGAGTAAGGCCTCTGCTACTATCTGATGACGTTCTTTGTCTTGAGTTCGTGGAGACTAGTGGCAGGTGTGTACTGTCTGAAATGATTTGAGTGATAGGTACAAGATAGCTGTTAAAATACATAAATAACTAGTAAGGATATTAAAGCTAGCTTGCTTTGCTAAAGGTTTCCCCCACAATCATTGAAATTTTAATCAATACAATTTTAAAGATTTTTCAGATCTTTAACACAGCTTACATATCATTCTTTTCTTCCACCTGCCTTTCTCCCCAGGATTGCCTCAAACTCATATTGCCATGTAGCCCAGACTGGTCTTGAACTCCTGATCCTCCTGCCTTCACCTCCCAACTGTTGGCATTATAGGTGTGCACTAGTGAGCTCATCCTCTAGAATGTCTTCTTTGGGAGAATTTGCACTCCTAAGAAAGAGTGCATGAGAGTTTAACAGTCCCAAGCCAGGAAAGACTAGAATCAAAACAGGGGCTCAGGCTTGGCTTTCATGTTCCTGGCTTGTCAGGCCTAACACATCCAGAAGTACATTGAAGGCTCATGAAATATTTACTCTTGCTGCTTCATCAGTTTCTAGTTGTTCTTATGCTTACTCCTTAAGTACAAGAAAGGTTTCTACTTCAGGTTTCCTGGGGTGTTGGGTTTAAAGGACTTGTTGAACATTAAGGAAGCAAATAGGAAAACCCATTTCTGTATTATTGAGAGGCCTCATTCTCCTCTTGCTTCTGGTCAGAAAAGGCACCCTAGGTGGTGGAATGGATGATCAGAAAGTCAGGATAATTATGGTGGCTGCCTTCACAGACATTTCTGTCTGACCCTAAACATGAATTGATCATGTAGGACCTTATTTTCAAAATTGTACAAGGCCAAGGGTAGGGTCGAATGCTTTTTATCCTAGTTCTGAGGCAGGTGGATCTTTGTGAGTTTGTATAGAGTCTGTATAGGGATATTAGAACAGCCAGAGCTACCTAGTGAGTAACTGTTTCAAACAGGCACACACACACCAAACCCAACCAACCAACCAATCAGAAACCAAAAAAACCCAACCAGACATCAATAAAACCACCAATCAAATCAACCAAAACCTTACAAAAGCAGTATTTGTCTTTTGTAGAAGCCTTGGGAAATATAGTTAGAAAACCCCCCAAATTATACATGTGCATGCTCCAGGGAGAATAGTAGTATGGGTACTATTTTCTTTTGTTCATTTTGTAAATTCTGTTTTGCTTTTATCACCTGCAGTACATTCTTTAACATTATTTGGTGATGATTGTGTACCACTTTATGCAAATCTTTTGTTGGAGGTAGCTTGTTTTGAGTATTTCTATTACAATGTACAACTTTGTCAGTAAATTTGTATGTGTATTTATGATGATTTGACTAAACTTCTTTAAAGAGAGATTTCTAGGTCAGAGAATACATATTTATTCAAATCTCCTGATACCTATAAACAGTGGGCATTTCTGGAAAAGCATGAGCATTTTCTCTAGTACTGGGTATTGGATATATTTTCCTCTATTTCTGAGTTGGAGTAAGACTGTTACCTTGAGGCTGCTGTGAAAACCAAACGGAGCTATGCACAAGAACCTTGTGTGCTTTTCCTCAGGTTAATGTATTTGCAGGCCCCAGTAAAACAACAGGAATGTGACATGCAACACTTGGCCCAGAAGCTACTGTGTCCCTGCTTCACTCACCATTCATTCCTTCTCCACTTACAATCTGGCTTCTGATTCCAAACCTCCTGTCAGACGGCTCTCTAAAAGGTCACCATTCGCCTTGTAAACTCTCCACACATCTCAAGCATAGCTTTTTCCTGAGTTGTCTTCATCTCTCTGCTTCTTAAAATGTGTTCTGGATTCTCCAGAGTGTGTGTCTGTCTGTCTGTCTCCCTCCCTCCCTCCCTCCCTCCCTCCCTCCCTCCCTCCCTCCCTCCCTCCCTCCTTCCCCC